AAGCTAAAGTAAGGCAACTCCACACCCTCCTCCAAAGCTTAATAACAGAATCCATCACAGGAATTTATCCTAACACTGTCCTGCAGTTTTTAGCTGAACAGAGAGGCAAAATGCAGCAGGGGATGCACCCTGCTCTTGTATGAATCTGTTAGTGAAAGCTGCATGCTGACCCAGAGAGGTCTGGCAACCCTCAGTACAGAGCACAATAACAATCCTTAGGATTCCCAACCGTAGCCTAGAAAGTCAAAGCAGGACAATATTGTGGGAAGAGAACTGAATAGAGAGAAATTTTTAAATTACTGAAAATTGTTTTTTCCATTGTTGACATTTTTAAAATAAGATTTGTAAATAAAACGGTATCAAAGAAATATGAATTTTTGCTAAAAGGCATCTTGGCAACCTTGAATACCGCCAATGGTTTGAGCAATAATACCATAAAGAGTAATGATGTGGTTGATAAGGAACTTTTAACATTCAGAGCCTCGAACAATACAATTTTGGTATTTAAAATGTTTAATTGAAAAAAGTACTTGAATTTGACTAAAATCTATTATGCGGATGCTCCATTTGAAGCACTGCTTAAAATATGTAAGTTACTTTTTTGTTTTATTAGTGTGTCTTTCAGTGTATATAAAAAAATCAAATTATTATCATTTTCAGAGGATTACTTATATCTTTGTTTAGTTTCTTCAGAATTTAAAATAACAGCATATAAAAACTGAGCACCATCGTTTTGAAAGCAAAATAGCTGCAATATACAATTACATAATAACTACGTTACATACAGCAGGCTGCTTAAAATTGTCCAGAACTGAATATGCTCATTTAACATAAATGGTTGATTAAAATAGGATCCCACTTAAGAATTCTAGAACTCTGACCTGGAACATCACAGAGCTGCAAGTAAGCCAGATGAGGTTTGAATTAAATAGGGATACACAAAAAATAACAGAAGTGATGTATATATTCTACATGCTACTGCAGTGTTAGTCCTGCTAACTTCTAAGTCCTGCTTAGTAGTTTCAAGTCCTACTGCAGTTTTTAGCCCTGCTATTGTCTTCATTCTCTTTAAGCACTTTGCTGGCATAAATCTGGAACAACTGACATCGAATCAGTCACCCATGCCTACCTCTCCCTGAATCCTTGCCTAGCTCCATCATAACGGTGACAGCTTGCTGGATGGACACAGCTTTTACTTTTGTAAGAACTCTCAGAAAGTCCAGTTGGTTAAGAAAAACACACCAAGTCCTCACTCTCCCCCCAGTCATTTACAACCAACCTCTCACCCACCCCTCCCCGTTTCGCTGTTTTTTAGAGCCACAGCTCAATCTTTCCTAGGAGCAGATCAGCTCACCCTCTTTGAGAGCCAGCTACCCAAGTAAGCGCCCTGGCCACCGAAGGCAGGAATTAATTACTTAGCTGAGGTAAAATGGCACCAAATTCTTGATACATTTTCCCAGGAGGAGAACAATTTAGCACCTTTTATGATAATACATAGTAACTCCAGTGTCCTTGCAAAGTTAATGGATACAGATGGCACGCCTTCGCCGACATTGCAAGCATTTCTCTGTCCTTTTTAAAATAAAGCTTGAAGAATACAGATTTTTTAGATCCCAGAACTCTTCTAATCTGCAGTGACATTTTTCCCAAGGATGAGTAAAAATGTGAACAGATGCACAATCGATTTCCCTCTCCCGCACATTAATGGATTTTCAATAGTATTCTACAAAACAATTAACAGCTTCTTTATCCCAAACAAAAATTAGCATTTTAGCCTCATGACTGCCACACTACTAAACCAAAAGAAATACCATCCCATTCTGAAAGCAGAAACTTATTTTCACTTGTGTTCAGTGCCCCAAGTTGAGGAACAATGCTTGACACAGTAACGACTGCATCTTTGTTTCACAACTTTAATGTGGATTACAGTTATTTTTAAAAGAATAGTTAAATTAATAATTATGCTACAATGATCTGACCCAAATGATTACATTCTTGTAAATAAATGTAAATGTAAAGAAAATGTAAATGTAAAGAAAACCTTTTCTTTTGATGCAAGATCTACTCCCACAAGAAGCAGATTGTCAGTGTATCTCTAATTGTACTTGCTTCAATATTGGAGTGAAAATGCCACTTTCTTTAGAGGAGTGATGATCTGTTCTACACATCTCCAGCATGCTGAGTTCACTATAACACATCTATTGATGAGAGCTGTTTGCTCTCATCCTTTGTCCTTTCATATTCAGTTATTTTTTCCCCTTGGATCTCATACAAGAGATTACTGTTGCTTTCTCTGACAATTAAAAGCTTTGTCATCAGATATAAAGTTCTGCTATTTCTAAGACACTAAATAAATTGAGCCCACCATCCTATTAGAAAGTGTATGATCTTTTACTTGGGATTACATTTCCAGGATTTATTTGTCCTATCTTTGAGTCCCAACTCAATTGCCTAGAACAAAATTTGATGGTCCATGGCAACAGGGCTGTAAAAACTTACTCTTCTGTATAGCAGTGACAAGTGGAAAATGGTTTATAACCACTTTTTGTCATCTAACTCAATAATAATTTTTATGAAAAATAATTATGTTTTGCAGCAAAAGTAGCTTCCTCTCTTTATAGGGTAAAAATGCAATTTTCCAATTATGAACTTAATAACCAACTGTAAACCAGTAACACTGTATTCCCAGCCTAAAGAAAATTCTATCTAGCTGCACACAGGAGCAGAATGAAAATTAACTTTTTTTTTTTTTAACTTGTGATTCTTTTTTTCAGCCATATGCCCAAACCAGAGTAGCAATAAGTATGTGAATCTCACTTACCAGCGGAAAAAAAAAACCAAACAGAAAGGCTTATCATCAGTAGTAGCAATGACTCATTGGAAAAAGAAAACTCAGGATAACCCAGATAACCCCGGGGAACTGTGTGAAAGACTTTAAAAATCCCTTTTTAAAGCAACAGCAGGCAGGCTGCAAAAGAAGCAAGCGATCTAATCCTAGCATTCAGCCTCACAAGCTCCAAAATACTTTGGACAGCCTGTTCCTTCCAGCTGCTAGAGGCAAGTGGAGCTTCAAATTCATAAGGTACTTGGTATTCAAAGACTGATACAGAAGGCAAGAATCGTTTTGCAAAAATCTAAGAGGTAAGGAAGAATATCTTTAACTGTGCAGTTTTCTAACATTTCTTTTTCGTACAGGTAATGCATTATCTTTCAGTAATTTTAAGAAGTGGGCTAGTTATTAGCATATATTAAGTTCTTTCTTGCAACAACTGAATTCACTGTTCTGAGTTGTTTTTTTCTAATTTATTCTTGCTGGTGAAGCAGTTTATTTTTTTTCTCCAGAGCAGGTGATACTCATGGGCACATGGAGCAAAATATCTGCCAGCAAGCAGAGAACCTGATTAATCAATCTTTGCATTTCATACATCACTCTATGAAGTTAAGTCCTTTCAGAGAATATGTTCTTTCTTGTGCCTTACCAATAACAACCAAATGCACATAAAAATACATTGGACTATATGAACCCCTTCAATGTACCTTCCTGTTCAAGAATTAATAAGTTTTATGTAACAAAAATACCACACAGGTCCTAACTGAGGAAACTGTAAACAGTCAGGGCTATTCAAGTTTATCCTGAACAAGGAAAAACATGTAAATACATATTTAGGTATAGCATTGCATAAGACTGTGTGAGATATATGTCTGTAAAAGGTTTGTTTGAATCACTACTGTTATTCTGGGGGATTTTTTTTGTGGTTTTTGTAAATCTGGAGACTCAGTCTGATTCACAAACCAATTTAATTAGGCCTTAAGACATGAAACAACAAATGAGAATTGTAAATAACACATTTTCAAATAAATACACACAAGTACACCCCATAGGGCTCCCAGAACATCAGACTGGTAACAATTTTATCTATCATAACAGTGGCACAGAACACTTTCTGTCACATGCAAGGAAAGTAATCTGTAAAACGATGTCATTCAAAAGCAGTTTCAAAACACCTTAATGATCTGCAAGGCAACCCCAGAGGTACTAGACTTACAAAGGATGGCTGTGAAATGAAAGAAATCACAATAACAAAAGCACAACGAGAATAAAAAAAAAATATGTACGTTTTTATAATCTGCTGCCTTTCTGGGCAATTGCTGCTTAAATACACACTGTCATAAATTACATGACTGCCAGATGCCAATGTCTGCTGCAATGTTAGTAACATTCTGCTTAAACATTTGCTGTTCTCAGAAGCATTTCCTCTTCATACCTGACATATTCATCAACTTACTATCTTTCCCACCTCCCTCCCCCACAAGTATGAAGAAATACTGGAGAACTATCAACACTTTTGATGGTTCTTACTGCATCTTATTGAAATGAGATTTTTAAACTGCTCAAATGCTACTTTGTTTGAATGTATGTTATTATTGACTCTCTTCCACCTTTGCTAGTGATCAATGCTCATCTATTTTACAGGTTTCCAACAGCACTTTCCTGTGTAATTACAAATACATTCAAAATAACATCTCTTTGCTTGCTTACATTATATAAATTAAATTCTCAGTCATATATACATAATGAAGTGCACACAGTTGTCACTGCCTGAGATGCTTCCATTATAAACTCAGCAAAGCAGTGGGAACATTGCAGCAGTTGTAATATCAGCTCAGTAATCACCACTACCATTGGAATGAGAAGTTTAGTGTTCTGGGGGAAAAAAGTTAGATTTCTATAAAGTAATTCACATATTTCATTACGGTTTTAATATTTATGATCTCTTTAAATAATTTCCTCACCTAACTTCATACCAATGATTTTATTCTGTTTTAGCAGTGATCACAGAATCATAGAACGACCTGGATTGGAAAGGACCATGGGCAGGGACACCGCCCACTGAACCAGGTTGCTCAGAGTCCCATCCAACCTCACCTTGAAGAGATGGACATGAAACTCTATGAATCTGAAGATATGTTAGACCATTGAAACATAGATGAGGATTTTCCCAAGCTGCAGTCAACCACATCATTCCTTCTTCTGCAAAGCTTACTTGTGCAGCAGCTCTTAATAGAGTACTCCACAAATTAGACTCTTACTCTTCCAATTATGAATTAAACAATGTGAAAAACTTATTATAAAGAATTTTCCACATAATTTGAAAAAATAGTTCTGATGAGGAAATGATTGTTTAAGCACAGCTCAGTCACTGCACCAGCTATGGGATGTCAGTCATCTAAGACTCACACTCTGGAAGAGGAGGAGAGAAGGTCATACTTGTCCAATCTGCTTGCAATATAAGAATGTAGAAAATAAAATGGCAGGGCTTTAGGCTCAGTTGAAAAAGGAGGATTTGAAACAGTCTAGCAGTAAGCTGTAAAATCAAGTCTCGGTGGTCTGTGGCTCACATTTATATTCATAACCTGAAGTAAACTAAATCATCACTGACAACAATTACAACTTTAACACAGATGGGAGAAATGGAAAAACCCTGAACCGCCTAGGTCAAACAACTCGAACTTCTTGATAAGATCAATACAAGTAAATATCAGCGTTGAAATACCAAGAAACGCAAAGTCTTATATGCAAGATACAAATATGAAGACAGTACATTCAGAATAACAACAAAATTTGATTTGGGAAGGAAGACTCAATAACGTGCCACAAAAATCCACCTGAACACAGGCACCTTTGTCCTGGGGTACAATGCAAAAATGTGTATTCTATCACCATCTGTTAAAATGTGGGAGGGGTGGTGATCCTTATCTCTGTGGGAGATATCCTCTGCTGATGTGCCATCTGATAAGATGGGGGGATGATCATCGTTATCTATTCACAACCCATCCTTCCTCCAGAAGATATCTTCTGTTAATGGGCCATTAAGTCCTATTGTGTGACTGATAAGATTACATCACCCCATTGGGAGATGTCCCAGGCAGGGGCAGGAGCCAAGCCTTTCCTACCTAGATAAAAAACTGGGGTTTGGGACAAAGGCAGTCCTTTCCACTGGATCCTAGAGGAAAGTCGGACCTTTTCCACATCATCGCTGGACCTTAGGAGGAAAACTGCACCTTCTACAGGAGCACTGCTTCAACGGAACCACATCTGTCATCCAGCAGGACTGCAGCCACCATTTATAGGGACTGCTACCAACACCCTGACTGACATGGTGTCAGGTTGTATTTCTGACTTTGTCGGTGGTTTTTTCTTTTATATTATTGCATGTATTTTATTTTTTCTCTTTTTTTCCTATTAAATTGTATTACTGACTTGGAGTCTCATACTGGGTTTTACTTTCAAACCAACACAACCTTACACAACAGTAGTCAAAACCTAAAAAGCTTACTGTGAAAAAAGAATACTCCAGGAACTGGAATTATTTTGCTTTCAAATAGGAAGTTATGGAAAAATACAAAGCAATGAAAGTTCATGAAAAACACAATGTAGCAACAGCAGAATCAGCATTAACTACACTTAAAATCCCCCAAAACAACCCAGACTGTAATTTACCTGAAGGATAACTGAGACAAATAATCAAGGACTATGCTTGTCCCCTTCATTAATTTGTTTCAATCAAAAGTCAGTCTTTTCAAGAAGAGATACTTTAGTTCAAATGAGAATGAACTCAGAAAATCTTAATGTCATGCGATAGGCAGAAGGTCACACTTGATGATCACAGTTGTCCCTTCTGACCTACTGATCTATGAATGTTACATTAACATCTTTGAAGCCTGCATTTTATTTATTAATACTGAGAGTATCCTGCATGAAATAAAACTAAAAAAATGTGTCATAATATGGCATTTGACTTGAAAAGGGCAAAGCACAAAACCTAACTATCATTACTTTGTCACATACACAAATGCTTAAAACTGAAGCTACGAAATATTTTCATTATTTTTTCTGCTTAATTCATTGAGTCCCAAATGATCTATTCGTCTTTGAATCCTGAAAGGAATATCTATATTTAAGATACACTCCCATTAACGACCAAAGGACAATCTGAAGATTGTCATTATTTGGAACTGGTGAAAACAGAAAATTTGGTAAAGCACAATCCAAAAGAGATGTGAGATTGTGTGAGCAATATGTAAACTCTACTTCTCTTTGCATTAGTACTAGAAATAATGATAATTTTTATGGTACATTTTTTAGTTTCAAGATTAATACAGCTTATAAAAGAAGTTCAATATTACTCCCTGATGTATTACTATTCTGCCAGTGTACAGCTGCCAACAGTAGTTAAATCTGATTAAAGCCCCCTGCTGAGTTAATCAATCTGATAATGTCAGACATTATTAAGGAAGCATACATGATACGGTCACACTGTCTATTATCAGTGGCATGTACACCAGTGCCTTTGTCTTCACAGAGCACTGAAGCTATTTAAAACAGATAAGCATAAAAAGGATAAAAAGCATTATAAACTTTCAGTTTCAAGCATTTGTATGCTAATTCCTGCTAAAATACAGCTATTTAATACAAGATACCTTTATTTATTTTATGGGTTTGGGGAATACCGAAAAACCTGAAAATTTTAGAGCAATGAAGTGCAGCTTAAGAACACTTTCCATCATTCTGAACAATGCAAACACATTTCTGTGTAAGTCAGTCTTTTTGTATTAGAAAAAAAATCATTTTACAGAAGCTATTGTCTCAATTTGAGCTATATTCATACACAAAAACACAGGTCTACCAAACACTACATGCTACTTGACCTACTCAGAAGTCAGCAGACATTACTTCAATGCTGTCATTACACTAATACACCCTAATGCCGAAATAATTTGCGTTTCAAAGGGAGCTGCTTCTTTTCTGTTTACATTACATTGAAACGCAAAGCCGTATCTATTTACATTGAGCGGCATTAAGTCTTTGCATTTCAGCACTATCAGCAAAAGTATCTATCATTAGCTCTAACGCTAATCAGCTCCTCATCAGATGAAGGTGTAATACCTGACGCAGCACAGTCCCTTTGCAAAGCATGTGAAACATTGCAGAGGACAAGGACACCCCGGTTGTTTCAGAACTACACGTGCAGGGGGCCTGGGGGAAAATAAGGGCAAAAGAAACCTGGCCAATGAAACACAAACTGCAACTCTTAAGGAATCAGCATCAAAGCTTGAGACAAACTCCTCTCCTAGGACTGGTGGAAAAGCAGTTTCTACAGTGGCTCAGGATCCAAGAGAAGTTGGATGGTGATCCCAATTCTACTTCCAGATGATTTCCTAGGAACCCAGTGTAAAGTCCCAGATAAATACATGTAATGAAATCTGACTGTTCCTGACTCGGTCCAGCACGATAACATCAGTTATCCTCTCTACACTGTTATCTCTTTTATTGACATGTCCTATCAATCTAATGTTCATTCCAGAATGAAATAATCAGTAGCTTGCAGGACACCTACACCTGAGAATCATAAATGTAAACCAGATCTACATCTTCCAGCCAAGAAACAGACTGCCTTAATTTTAATTTGTTTTGGTGGGTGGACTTTTTGGGTTTTGGGTTTTTGTTTGTTTGTTTGTTTGTTTTTGGTTTTTTTTTTTTGGAGGGGGAGGGGGGCAGAGGATGGACAGACAGGGACGATTACACCACAAACTTGAAGATCAAATATACCTCGTTTTGAAAAAATGCTACATAGTATCTTTCTACCCTGCTAGAAGTGGAAATTCTTTAAACTGCTATGTAATGTACATGCAATAGTCAATCCAAGTTCCCTGAAATTTAAATCAATAGCTTGTCTAGGAAGAAGTGCTCAGTTTTGATCCAGGGCAACAGAGTCTTTACAGACCACTCTGAAATATATCCATGTGTTTATAAATACGAGGCACCTCTCATAACAGCAAATCATAAAAATACAATTGAGCAGCACAATAGTTCTTTTTCCACCACTTTTTCTTTTACAAGGTTTTTGTGTCCCATGTTTGCTTCCTAATATTTAGGAGCACTTTAATTGAAGTATTTTTCCCCACTAAGAATTAAAGAGAAAATAAACCAAAATGCTGCTTAACTGATGGATTAACTCTAGTTCAAGAACTGAGAGGAAACAGGTATTTCCAGTTACAACAGTCGGATAAAGGCTAAAGTACAAGATTTTTTTTAAACTGAAACTTATGTTCAGTCAAGGACATCTAATCCTTTTCACACTGTCTTTTAAACGGCAGATTTAGCCGAAGTTAGTTCATTGAAGAATAGTAACAAAATTTTCAAAACTTGCTACAATTTAAAAAGAAACAGAAGTGAACCAGTTTTTAAATGTTACTACGAATCCTATTTATCTCTTCCTCCCCTGCCCTCACAACCCCCAAAATCCCCAAAATGAAGATCAACGGGGTAAAAATAGGAAACAAAAAGACAGTGCCAGTATGCAACAGTTTACTATGGGTTTATGCCTCAGGGCTGAGTTCTCATGGGGATTCTCTAATGTCTAATATGGGTTGTATTTGCATATTAATATTCCCACAGGGCAAAAGAATCTTCTTTATTAGTCATCTGATTTTCAGGAACTTCATATGAATTCAGCGTCTCTGAAACCTCTTTCCTTCTGTCAACACTGGCTGAAATTTGGCCACTGAGGGTAGGGGACAGTACTGAGGGTAGGGCAGCAGACAGAATTGAACATACGCAGGCAAACTGCACGTCACAAGAGCACTTACCTAAAACCACAATATCTGAGCAAGATAATAGAAGTTCACACCTCTACACAGACCCAAAGTAGGTAAAGAAATCTGGAACTGAAAAAACTCCTAAGTTTAACACCAGTAAAACTGTCCCACTCACAACAGAGAGACTTAAATAGCAGGCATAATCTGAAATCCCAATTTCCTTAATAATAATAATAACTCTCTTGACTTCCTTCCCCAGAATGCACCAACCCCTACAATATAATACAGTTTTGTTTTGATTCTCTGTTCTACCTTTAAATGTGGTCTATGCTAACGTCATACAGCTGTATGACTTGGAAGGTGAGTATTAATTCAACATACCTGACAGCTAAATTATCAATAACCGTACGTTTGCACATATGCTCAGACACAGGAGAAATATGCTATTAATTCCAGTCAAGCTTTTAGGAAAGTATGAGCATTGTGACAGAGGGCACTTTTATCTCCTTGGCTACAGCACGCTAAAAGGTATGTCATTTATCTGTTGATCCAGAAAGATACTGCACTGTCTTCTTGTCAAAAAGATAGCCGAGGAACTTACAGAGTGATCACAGTTCTGCAGGAATTAATATCCTCCCATCCTTTGACCAAAGAAATCTTGAATCTTGCCTGAATCAGGCACTTCACTGATAGTCAACTGCTTTACCAGGAACCAGCCCTGAGACTACAGCCCCTCACAAAGGCACACCTTTTCTTAAAATTACTGCCTGCATAACAACAGCTCTATCAGATCTCTGAAGGCTGAAGTTCAAAGACAAACTCCGTATCACTTATAGAACGCCAGTCAGCTCACTGTCCTCCCACAGCACCTGGTATTTGGCAGCCTGAGGCACAGAGCAACGAAGTACCACGAAAATTGTCTGCTCTAGCTCTTTCCAATACAGCACATCCCTTAATATTGGAGACACTTCCAAAGCTCAGTTCCTTCTTAGTATTAAACATACCCCTAAATAGAGACTTCTGCCTATCCAAAGGAAGCTGAGAAGTGTCTTTTGACCCTTTGTGTTGCTTGTGAGCTTATTCACTAGAGAAGCTGTTGGAAGAAATTGGCTCTCCTGTTTTCCAGACGATCTGTTGAATACGTGATGAAAGGGAACATGTTGCCCCCTGGCCACTGGCACACGGAAGGAATAGCTACAAGGATTATAAGTGGGCTCTGGGCCATATGGTGTGTAGGCTTATTGTAGGAATTTAGCATTTTTTAGACTCCTACTTTCCTGTCAAATTGGTTGAAATTAGCCACTGAGCTTCCTCTCTGAAGACTTCGGAAGGAACATGGCGATTGTATAATCTTTTGCCATTGAAAAAACAAATTTAAAAATTACGTAAAAATAATATAAAAACTAGGTATCTGCTCATGATAAAGGAAGGAAGAAGTAGTTTTAGGAGGTGCTTTCACAAACTGGGATATTTATTGGAAGCTGTAGCTTTAATAAATGTGAGCTTAGCATTACAGAAATGAGCATATATTACTGCATACAAGCTTACTGCTATGAAGTTTTAAAATAGAGTTCAGAAGCTAAGCCAGTTTAAGTACTCCCTTATCCTTCCAGAGAACGGTACAGAGTACATATGACTGTTATAAAAAAACATAATCTTATTTGCTATTTAGCTATTTCTAGAAACTCAATATTATGCTTGGATGTCTGCAAATATTACAAACACTTTTGTGAATGAAACAATACATCAAGTAAAATAATATAGTATTGAGGTCTATACCTGATGAAAGGCTTCTAGACAGTCATACCAGAAATGAATTTATTTATGTATAATGACTATATCTACTCAATATGTTCATGTTTTATTGAGGCTCAGTCTGGAGAGGATATAAATTGTAAATTGGGATTGCAGACTAAACTGAATGAGCATAGTCAGGTGTGGAGGAGGTCATTAAACATGGCACAGTTCCTCATCCACTGATGCAAGCAGCACATGCTTGGCATTTCATTTCAGTCGAAAAAGTTTCACGTAGCAATCTGCTTAACAATATTATCTATTCATCTGTAGTAGTTTTAATGGACCTTCAGTTGTCTACCAAAATACCTTCCCACACTGTTCCCCATCAAAAGGTGAAGTTCAACTCCACAGACCTAAAATGAAGCTTGTCATCAACCCCTTTAACAGGGGGTCTTTGCAATATGCCCGAGTACTCTGCATCACTCATGGTGAAGGGAGGTAGTCAAGCCATCAGCTCAATCAGACCACAAGAAGGTAAGTACTGGCTGTGCACTAACCTTCTGGAACACACGCAGGCACAAGTTTAAAGCTATGAACATGAACAATTTCTGGAGCACTTATACACTCATTTAAGACCAACCTGACAACTAACGATTTCTTGATTAATGTAGGATGTGTAACAACTGTAGCATATAGGCACTTGTTGCAGGCAGCTTATAGATGCCAGGCATAAAGAACACTCTCCTTTGAACAGAGTTTGGCCAAATGAAAACAAAAAAACCCAAACAATAAACAACCACAATACCAACCACAAAACAAACAAAAAACCCCCCACAAACTTAACAAAGAAAAAAAAAACAAACAAAGAAAAACAAATCATCCCAAAAAACCCCACAGAAAAACAGAGGCATGCATCAACTTGAGCGACAGCACAGAGCAATTGACATCGATTATATTATTTCCTATTATTGAGAGTTGGGAGAGGCTCAGGAGTAAAAAATGTCATACAGTGGGAAGGAAAGTGGACAGTGATTTAATATCAAGCACACAGGTAGTTTAATGATACCAGGGAAGACCATATCATGTCCAGACTTCTAAGCACCAAAGCAGCAGACTTGACTTGCCATCTGTGTGGTATCCCAGAGAGGGTTTGAGGGAAACAGGTGCCCATGGCTCCTAAGAGTGTTGACCATGGAGGAAGGGCTGGGAGAAATCAGAAAGCAAGTTTTATGAGTTAGGCTGAAGCTTTGGGCTCAAAGTGCTGATCTGTATGCCAGGAGTGTTCCCAGCACTATTCCCTGAGCTCCTGATGAGAGCACAGTGAAGAAACTGGTGTAGGAAAGAGCTCAAATTTATTTTGCGAGGTATAACTTCTGGATTGAATAGAGTTGATACTGGTTCAGAAATCATGGGGCAAGGGAGCAAGAGGGGATAATCAATCCATAAACAACCTTTTGGGATATGGAAGAATCCAAGCTTGCCATGTGTTCATGCAGTGCTTCTCTTTTATTTTATGTGAAAAAAAAACCCTAAAAGAATGTCAGGATTCTTCAACAGATTGTGATCAAATCCGTTCCTGAAAGTAGTAATAATATATTGTCTCTCAAAGAAAAGAAAGTTTATTTGACTTACAATTACATTATACTGTCACTGAATGATCTGTTTTAGGTTAGGGGAAAGGCTGGTATGGCAGAGATAATATTTACCACGTTCCAACCATATTCAAGGGCTGGGTGAACCCTGTAACAAAAGTGATAAAGCAAAACAGAAATCTGGAAGGAAAAACAAGTAAGAAATATGGTGCATAGAAATGGTCTATTGCTCTCCCTTGACACATTTAAATAAAGAAACATCCAACAACATCTTGATTACTGGACATCATGATACAGAAAGAGATGTTAGGAATCAAGTACAATCAATCAGAATTCCACTTAAGACTAAGAATGACTGAAGAGTGGAAAAGACTCCAAGATGATGAATCATGAACTACAACTGAGGCAAAAAACAGATAAAAGAAAAGAAAATCAAATCAGGCAGTTAGGCAAAATCAGCCAAAGACAGCTGTCCTTATGTCAAGCATAGACACAGAGAAGAATAAATGTTATTAGAAGACCTTAATTTATTGACGTGGCTTTTAACTACAGAGCATTCATCATAATTATCAGAG